AGAGAGAGAGAGAGAGAGAGAGAGAGAGAGAGAGAGATATTCATACTTTAAGTTTGCTTTTAATGGGTATTAGTTTCGTATGAGTTATGTATGAATTCAATACAATGTATGTATTAATCGTCTCATTATATAATTGCGAAGAGATTTGAATTACAAGTAATAACAACAACGTAAATGTAATTGATGAATAAAATGCTGTTATTTTGACAACAAAATAATCTGATGAAAATGATAATAAAAATACAATGTAACATATATTGAGACTTAGTGTAAACCAAATGAGTGCCAAATATTTAGCCCAATATTGACTGTTATATTCATTGATTTCCACATAAATTGCATTCAATTGGCGAATAGTTTTCGTTATAAACCAATAGTTGTAATAATAGTTAAAATTTCGGTGTTTTTTCAAAGGATCTTTTAGTGATTTATTAATAAATTTTAGTTTTAATTTTAAATAGTATGCTATTATATAGTAATAAATAGTTTGATAACCATGTATATTGGTAATATATAAAACCCAAATAATGTACATTATTAAATGTGGTAGTCCAATAATTATTGCATGAAATAAATTATCCCACAACAAAATTGCAGTTATTATATATATACTTGCAAAAATGATTAAAATTACTATTAATGGTTTATATGTTTTAAACAATTTTCTAGTAATTATAGTTAGTTTGTGAACCAATATCTGGTCATTAATTCCAATACTTTTGGGTGAAATCAGACCACAAATCATATGAAATACTCTCAAATCCGTGGGTTTTATACCATTTCTATAGTTATAGTAATTTACAAATTGTGATCCAATTGTAAAAACTGATGCATTTATTAACATAACATTCGTTGCACAAGATTTTGTATAATACAAATCCATATCACCAAGATATATATGAGTTTCATTTAAAATTATATAATTTATCAGATGACAATAGAGTATTATAAAACTTTTGCATAATATAAATAATGTTATAATGAATACGAGTAATGGATGATAGAGTAGACGTCTGTTTGGATGTAATTGTGGTTTAAATAGTGATAAACCAATT